AAAAAAAAAAAAAAAAATTATGAGTCGGGGATCATGTGTCCCTAGTCTTGTGTCTTCGGTCTCAGGTACGGGTTCCGGTTCCATTGTCCGGCGAGAAAAAGGAACTTGAGTTGGGCCTAAATTAGTCACTATAAATTACGTTTGGACTGAAGTCGACCTTGGAACGGGTCATTTGGGCTTCAGAGGTATAGTGAGAAATGAGCCCACAAAGCAAACCCCATCCAGTTGCGCGCGCCCGTTTCATCTATACTGTAAATCACGCGCCAATGAAATCTAAAACCCTATGCCATACAAATTGGGGTTTTTCTTCCTCGCAGAAAATTAACAGATATGGCAATTCACGCTGGAATTCTCTGCTTGAAAACCCAATTTCAGTTTCCCTGTCGAGTGTTCGTCTTGTCCTGGTGAGAAATTTTCGCACTTTATAATGTTTCTATCTTTAGATGGTTCCCGAGAAAATGAAGGAAAAAAAAAAGTTATTTTCTTTTTACCGTTAATTTTGAAATTTTAAATAACAAAACCCCAAATTTGTTAACAAGTTGAGCGACTGGGACTCTTGATTCTCATGATTCAAACACTGACTGATTGAATTATCCACCGTTCTTCTATTTCCTATGTTTTCTCAGGAACCAAACAGAAAATTCAGCTCAGAAACTGAGTTACTGATCATTCAAAGTTCTTGGTGATTTGTAACGTTGTCGTACTTAATACTAAATCTGTCATTTGTAGGGCTAGGGAGAAAATTGCAATCAAGTGCTTGAAAAGCAGAGATTACAGTTCATCGGTTCCTGTTAGGTACATTCCCAAGAAATCTTCTCAAGTTAAAAAGTCGGAGAATTATCAGCAGACAAAGGGTTCTGAACAAAAGAAGTCCCGTGAATTTCCGGATGCGGATGCATTGAAGAGTGAGGTTAAACAATGTGGAAGAGGTGTGCAGAAAAATAGGGGCTTCGATGAGAAGCCTCAGAATCAAAATCACGTTTTCTACAAGAACTACTTGTTTAATGATGTTGAGAAAGGTAATCTTGTTTACTTGAATAAATAAATAAACAAATTGATTGTGTAACATACAAACATAGCTTTAAATTACATGAATTACATGATTGCACTTACCCCTGGCAATTGTAGCTTCTTGTTATCGTGTTTGTTTAGTTGTGGAGTTTTATTTTAGGCTTTGTTTATACACAAAACTGAAGCGATTTTCTTTAAAACATTATAGCATCTCCAGAGTTGGAAGATCAGATTGATCATCTTTCGGGGGATGTAGGCTATGAACTCATGGAAGAACCTGAGGAGGTTTTTGAAGAGTTAAATACTCATCAAGTGAAAAAATGTTATGAAAAGGATGTATTGCATGATGCCGAGAAAGTGGCAATAAAATTACTTGCAACCAGGTTAGAACTTCCATAACTTCATAGAACTGCTTGGTGTAGTGCTGCTAGAATGTCTAAGGGCAGGAATTCTTCTGAGGTACATGATTTTGCCAAGATACCTTTGGATAGCAGTTTGAGGGTTTGAGCATGTGTATTCCTGGAGTGAAGATGCTATAGAAGTTTGAAAATAAGGATGTTTACCTGTGAATAAAGAAGAAAAAAATTGTTTAAGAAGTTCTTTTTCTTTGTAGGGCTTTCACAGCAGTTGAACTGAGAAAGAAATTACATGGAAAGAACTTTTCTCTAGATACCGTTGAGGCAGTGATAAATGACTTCATTAGCAGGTACATTTCTAGTCGTGAGAATGTCTTGTGTTGAGAGTGCTCATCAACCAATTATCTGGAAAAGTGTAACACCACAGGGGATTTCTCAGTAACTGGATATCCCTTCCTATTCTTTTCTTTTCTTAGGTCTTTCAAAGCACCCGAGTAACACCTTTTTTTTTTTTTTTGGATCAGTCATTATTAAATGTTTGGTATTGTGTTCTTTTGTGCGCATGTGAACTGATCTCCAACTATTTCTTTACTTTTTTACTGTAGTGATATTGTCATTTTCAGAAGTGAATTCCAAAGTTTCATACTATATTATATATGATATGACATCTTTTGTGACCCTTTAAGTTTATTGTAGAGGCCTAATCAATGATAGCTTGTATGCGGAAGCATTTTCTCGTTCTAGATGGTCTTCCTCAAGTTGGGGACCAAGGCGGATAAAGCAAGTAAGCCATACTATTTTTCAGTATAATAGAAATTTGGTAGATTGAGATGACTATTATTAGATTGAAATGTTGAAGGACTGAGATTGTCATGTTAATCCTTGTTTTTCCACGGTGCAGCCTGATTTAAGAAAGAGTAGCCGTGTTGATATTACACTAGGTAGTCAGCTCTTGTTGTAGTCTTTATTTGTTTTAAAAATCTGATCTAGAGCAATAAGAAAGAATGAAACAAGTCAAGATAAATGTTAGTATCGACTATCCAAATTAGCAAGGGTGAAATGTCTGTTTTTATGTAATGAAGCATTGTTGTTGGATCAGGCACTTTTCAGCAAGGGAGTGAGTAAACTTGATGCTGAGAATGCAATTAAATTGGTTTTTGAGGAGGGAGAATCAGATAATGATCAGAAGTTAGTTCATGGCCTGTCAAAGCTCTCAATGGATAATTTACTTGTTCAGGCCTCAAAGCAGTGGCTTCGAGGTCAAGAAGTGCCTAAAGAGACAAGGAAATCAAGGATTGTTCGTTGGCTTCAGTATCGTGGATTCAGCTGGGATGTTATTGGCTTCGTATTAAAGAAGTTAGAATCTCAGTACCCACCCTAGTCCATAACCATCAACTGAAATGTTGTGTAGTACGGACAGGGTTTGGGTCTATAATGTCACTTGCTGCTGTGGCTAGAAAGTTACTCACTTTAGCCCTTACCAGTACCAGAAATAATGTTGCATTAGCCTACCATGCCACCACCTAGTTTAGGTGGGGCGAAGTCTACTTTAATGACAACATAGCTAGAAGACGAGCAAGAAGTGGCAATATTTAGCTGTTTTTGATAGGAAACACCATTTTGTGGCTGAAAATTGAAACTCTTTTGTATTCATGTATTGTTTATGTTTACCTCAATGAAATTTTGTTGTTTGTGTTGCTGTATTTGAAAATAATTACCTCTAATCAACCTTCGGATAGTAAGATCACAAGCTCCACTTTGCATGTGTTTGTCTGTATTGTCCATACTCACTGTAAGAACCGTTGGATTCGTTTCGATATTTTTGGGTGTTTTTGAACCTCTTAAGAAAATACTTAAACTTAGATCTCTGCAGTATGCTCATAAAGTGGATGCAAATCCATGTGCAGCTGTAATGTTATGGATCAGTTTACTTGGTTTGTGTATTACGTATCTGTACAGGTATAAATAATGGTCCTGCTTTTCTACATGTGCTTTCTGATAATGAAAGATGAAGTCTTCTAATCCAAGATTAGTATTTCTTTGCTGGAAAGTCTTGCTCAGATAAGCACATGGACATGTGATGTGGAGTTGGGGGACCATGTGAGCATTGCTGGAAAGAAAAGATGTCATGGAATGGAATCTCGTTCCCTCACATTAAATTCTAATTACATAAATCCAAAAATACTAATCATTGTTTAACACTTCTACTACATACCCTGCATTTACTATCACTCCACCAGAAGACAGTTAAGCCATCACCTATTCCCCAAAAGACCATTCTTTCCTAGTGGGGAGGCATTGATTATTTCAATCTACAAGAACCACATATAATTAAAATCTAAATTTACACTAATATTCTTCCTCTGTATTCTTCCTTGCTCTATGGGATTTTGATTCTCCCAAGATAATATGCACAATGGATGAAAGTTCATAACTTCTCATTGCATTGAATCTTCAGAGAAAGCAAAGGAGCAGTTAGAAGAGCCTTGTGAAACTGCTTTCCTAGCAGGAGGGGATGCCAAAATTGATTGCAACCCTCCTCCCTTCAACAATTCTGGTTCTCCCCTTGCAGTCTCAACATGTCGAATTTCTGTAAGCATTGCTACGACATCTTTCATCATCGGGCGATCATCAGCACGAGTGCTGACACAAAGGAATGCCACAGCTAGTGTTTGCAGCATTTCGTGCATTGTAGGATCAGCTCTTCCCCTAAGCTTCTGATCAAGGATGTCGACCGGATCTCGCTTCCTTGCCAAGTGCTCACGAATCCATTGAACTAAATGTGCACCCCCTGGCAAAGTTGGGTCTAATGGATGCCTCCCTGTTAATACCTCTAAAAGAACCACACCAAAACTGTAGACATCACTCTTCTCAGTGATACGCTGCATTGATGCATGCTCTGTAGTCACACAAAAAGAAAACATGAAACAAGTTAGGAACCAACTAAATTGAGTGATTTTTGGAAAAAAAAAATATATGGTAAGAAAATTAGGAACTAACTAAAATTATGGAAAGAAAGATTACCTGGAGCCATGTATCCATAAGAACCAGCTAATTGAGGCCTTTGGCTTGTTTTAGAAAAGTCATCATCACCAATGCCATTCACAATCCTAGCTAATCCAAAGTCAGCAAGATAAGGCTCATAGCCAGGACCCAACAACACGTTCATAGCTTTGACATCACCATGCAAAATAGCAGGCACACAGTCATGGTGCAAGTAGGCAAGCGCATGAGCCACGCCTAAGACAACATCATATCTAGCCTCCCAATCTGCTCCTCCCTTCCCAGCACCATGTAGCAGTGAGCTCAAGCTTCCATTGGGAAGGTAATCGTAGAACAGAAGTTTCAGGCTTCGGTTCGAACCCCAACCCAAGAGCCTGATGATGTTCTTGTGCCTGATTGAACCCAGTGTCTGAATTTCAGAGTTGAATGCTCCTGACTCTTCTGATGACCACATCTTCTTCACTGCCAGTGTTTCTTCATTTGGAATTGTCACCCTGTATACAACTCCAGAGCTTCCAGTGCCAATCACATTAGATGATGTCAAATTCTTGACTATGTCATCTACGGAGAATTCAAGCTTCTGGTACAAGGTCATTTCCCAGTTATCATCTTCCCTGAGAATGTTGCTGGCTATTTGAGCACGGACTAGTGTATAGACAGCAAGCAGGAGAAGTACTCCACTGATACTAATGAGAATGGACGTGATTAGCTTCATAACTGATCTGTTGTGGCTTGATCGTATCCTATCAGCCGGGGTTACAACTCCGCCAGAGATGTAGAGACCTTTATTTGCAGTAAGGTCACTAAGCGGGAGTTTCCGAAAGAATGGGGTGTTAGGCAATTCACCAGATAAGTCATTGAAAGAGACATTGAGGGAAACAAGGTTTTCAAGGTTTTTGAGAGTGTTTAAGTTTCCAGAGAGCTTATTGTGGGAGAGGTCAAGAATTCCTAGCTTGCTAAGGCCAGAGAATTGGGATGGGATTTCACCAGAAAACAGGTTACAGCTTAGATTGAGAGATATTTCAAGTGAAGGAATTTGCCCAAGTTGCTTTGGAATTTCACCTGAGAAGCCATTGTTGCCAAGGTCTAGCAATTGAAGCTTACTGCAAGAAAGGATCTCGGCTGGTATGCTGCCAGAGAGCTGATTCTTCCCCAGGTTGAGTTTTGTTAACTCCGTTAATGACCCAATGCTATGAGGAAGCTGACCAGTAAGCCTATTGTCTGAGATGTCAACAAACTGCAGGCTTGTAGGCAGAGTATCAGGGACAGAACCAGTGATCCCATTTGAATGAAGATCAAGAAACTCAAGGTTCTGACATCCTGATATTGATGGAGGGACTGCTCCAACAAGACGGTTGTTGCTCAAATCAACAAAGTTCAAGCTCTTCAAGTTGCCAATCTCCGATGGAACAGTACCTGCCAGCCTGTTGTGATTTAACCTTAACCTGTACAGGCTCGTGCAGTTTCCTATATCCGGCGGTATAAAACCAGATAAATCATTGGAAAGTAGCAGCAGCTTGGTGAGATTTCTCAATCCAAAAATATTTCTTGGTATTGAACCAAATAAATTGTTGTAAGAAAGATCAACAGCCTGAAGCTCTTGACAGTCTGAGAGACTCTCAGGAATATTGCCCGTAAGCCTATTTTGCCAGGCGAAAAATAGAGTTAAGCTCTTAAGGTTGCCAATGAGAACAGGAATCTCCCCTGAAATGTCGTTGTTGTCCACTTCCAAATGAGTCAGATCCATGCAATTTGAAATTTCAGTAGGTATAGTACCTGATAACTGATTGACACTCAGCTGAAGCTCTTGAAGCTTGGAAAGCTCACCAAAACTTTTTGGTATCTTGCCTGTCAGAAGATTTTCTGATAAGTCCATGACTGTGAGCTCCCTGCAGCTTCGAAGCTCATCTGGAATTGACCCCACTAAGCTGTTCTGCCACAGCAGTAGACTCTGAAGCTTGCTGAGCTCCCCAATTCTCCTTGGGATTGGACCAGTAATGGAATTCTGGTACAAGTACAAGTTCTGCAACTCGCTGCAGTTTCCAATTTCTTCAGGGATTGGACCAGACAACAGAGATGTATATAAGGCAATGGTTTGGATTCTTTTAAGCATTCCAATCGATGAGGGAAGACTTCCGGTAATGCTGGTTTCAGCAAGGCCTAACATGACCAAGTTGGTGCAGTTTCCAATCTCCCAAGGCAGCTCACCATTAAGATTTTTGTTCCCTCCTGCTCTGAAAACTTCTAGCTTTGTTAGTGATCCAATACTCTTTGGAATTTCACCACTGAGTTGGTTGTCATAGAGAGTCAGATACACAAGACTTGAGAGATTTCCAATGCCTGAAGGGATTTTCCCTTCGAGAAAATTTGTATTGAGAGATAAAGTTTGCAGTTTGTTTAGCCTGCATATTTCTTCTGGGATTTCACCAGAGAGAGAATTGCCACTGACATCAACAAAACTGAGCTCACGATACTTTCCAAACTCTTTTGGAATTGTGCCAGTGAGATTCGAGGAAGAGAGGATTAGGGTCTTTAAGGACTTGAGAGAGTGAAAATTTGAAGGCAATGGACCTTGAAAATCTAATGCTTTCAAGATTATCTCGACCACTTCTCCATTGGAGCTGCAGCGGACCCCGAACCAGTTGCATGGACTTGTGTCTGAAGGATTCCATGATTTCAATGCATCTGTGGAACCGTTTAAGCTGTTCTTCCATGCTAGAAGAGCTTGGCCTTGTTCATCAATTGAGTAACAAGAAGAAAAGAAAAGGGAGTTTATTGAAAGAAGTAAGGTGATGGAGAAGATATTGGGAGAAAGCAAGAGATTCCTTAGAGTAGCAGGCATTGCTGAGAGAAGAGAGCAGGTGATCTGTTTTGGGATTGTAGAGGGGGGAACCCCATGTTTTGTTTATAGAAGAAAAGCAGAAGATCTGGATCCAAGAGCAACTTCTTTATTCTATTAATTAATAATATTGTAATTGGGTATTGTTGTTAATTTAGAGATGGTGATGCAGATGGGTTTTGGTTTTATTTATCTAAGTGGGTTTATTTTTTTAAATGTACTCTTTGTTCATTCTGAGTCAATTAATTGGCAGAAAGTTTTTGGTTTTTGCTCTCTTTGTTATTTTGTGTAAACAAGTCAGTGAATCACTTTTTTTTTTCTCTTCTTTTTAACCAGGTGTGTAAAACATCTGCTGAATGTCATGAAAGAACCTTTCCTTTCCCTTTTTTATTGCTCATTTTGACAGTTAAACTATCTTGTTTCCTCCTTTTAGACATATGTTTTCATCCCATCTATCCAATTATATTGGTTGGAGAAGAAACACTGACATGTTTTTATAGTGGCATTTGAGTGATATACTGAAGAGTAAAATCAGCCTCATCATCCCTTATCAAGCAGCAGGAGATGTTCAGTTTAATGGATTAGCTCTCAGACAGTGATAGCTTAGTGACCAAAACCAACCAGAAACAGCAACAACTTATTCAATGGATTTAGCTCTGGAACTGTAAATCAAGAGGGCAGCATCTTCTTCAATAAGGCAGGGCAGGAGGCCCCAAATTGTGGTCCATAAATTTTTGTGGCCAGTAACATTTGCTGAGCCAGCCATATCTTTGATAGCTGCTGCTGCACTGCAGCAAAGTCTGTGGTGCTTCTAGCTAGTACCATGTGCCTGTGCAATTGAGGAAACACACATTCTGTTCAATTAATAACTTCATCACATATGCAGCAGCAGTAAAATAAAAATTAAAAAAATCAAGAATTTGATCTGAATATTGAACAATATTAGAAAAGGTCAACTGGGTTTTGGTTAATTAAGATTAAGGTGAAATAAAATGGATATTTTTATGTATTTAATGCAAATTTATATGAATTTGAGGGAACTGGAGTAGTTATTATTATTCTGTACAGGCAGCATGTATAGTAATTTTTTTATAAAAAATTTAAATAAATAAATAAATAAAACTTGTGGAATCTGCTGGAGAAGTGAAGTGCACATGGAAGTGAAGTGAGGAATATGTGAAAATAAAAATGTAAAAATGTTTAAATTAATTAAACTTCATGCTGTCGGGCGGTCTTTGCTGTAAAGGATTAAAAGAAAACGGAGAAAGGAATGGTGGCCTCATTTGGAAGGAACAAAGTCACACCAACTCAGAGTTGTTAATTAGTATTATAATTAGTCACAAATCAAAACCAAATTACCTCCACAAAACAAAACAAAACAAAGACAGCTTTGTTTAAAATATTGCAGATGGGTTTCAGCCCTCTTGCCAACCTTGCAATTAGCATTATCATGTCACGGGCTCCTTTGGAGTTTAATAAAATTATTGGCTTTTGCATGTTTGTTTGTTGGGACTTGGGATTAATGTGGTGTGGTGGTAATATGCTTCCTTTGTCTCTCTGCTTTCATTAAGACTAACCCCAAGATGATTATTACTTTTTTTTTACAGAAATTGAGCACAGTTGAAAAATGCAGTTAAACAAACACCATCACCATGCACGGTCCATACAAATATTTACTGATAAAGACCACTCAGGGTTTTGAACAATACCCTTGATTTGATTAAAAGATCCTTACCAAATTTCAACTGTAAATTATCTTTCACTTTCTCTTGGTTATTCTACACCTTACATTTCATAACCAAATCATCTCTAATAAATATATGGAGCCCATGAGCTTCATTTGTAGGAAGATACTCATGGGAAACTTTCAAACTTCTCCCTTCTTTCATTCTTTCTTTTGATAAATACCATGAGGTGTACCGACACTTGAAGGGTGGGATTAATTCCCACTCGGAGTTCGGCTTGTCCTGGCCACAAAGTGCTTCCAACGGGTTTCAAACCCCTGCCATTGAGGCACCAGGTAGCTCGCCATTTGGAGGTGGCAGTTTGCCAACCACACCTCACCTTGTGGTTGTTTCTTTCATTCTTTCATAGATGAATATTAAGTTTTATCCATTTTTTTATATAAAAATTTATATATGAAAGAATAACATTTGATAATAAAAAGTGTAAAAAGAGAAAGATCTCTAGAAATATAAAGGGGCACCAACAAGTAACATCAAAAGAAGGGAGAAGGACATCATCTATAATGTTATCTACAGATATAGGCAAGAAAAACATTAACTGAAATGGTCCCTCTCCAACCCCACTTCTTCTTCTTCTTCTTCTTCTTTTAATAATAATAATAATTTTCTTTTGTGAAAAGGCAGCCGATAAAGGCTTTCTGTCCTAGAAGCCAAAAACTATAAAGATTTATTTGGTATGCACGAATGGAAGTGATGTCACTTTTTTCACTTAGCAGTAATTCGTATAGTCAAATTTTGTCCTTTTTTTCCTTGTGCAAAAGTAATTTTATTATTAATTTATTGATAATTTGCATGTTGTTCATGTCAATTATTACACCACACTATAGCTAGTTTATGAAAATATGAGGAAAGTGGTTTGGATCTGAATCACAGTCTCTTTAGATTTCAGATCCCATCCCATATATGATATATTCACAACCAATAGTTGTAGGAATCTGAGATCGATCTTTGACCCTCCCTACTGGTCTTGCTCATGGCACTGGGAATATAGTTCTTCTACTGGCTGCTGCTGCATGATGCAAAAGAGTAGAAATTAAAATATATTTATGTTTGTTGTGGTCTTAGTTTATGAACATCATGCTTTTCTGGTTTGTTAGTGCCATGTTACAACCCCCCTTGGTGCATTTTATTAATTTATCTTGTCAGTTCTGGTTTTGGCATGAGAGTTGCACATGTGTGTTTGAGACAGAGTGGAAGAAGGGTGGTGGGTAAGCAAATATTGAACTTCAATGCTAGGTTTGTAACTCAATTGGTTAATAGCATTTATTTTCGAGTCAAAAATTCAGTGTTCGGATCGTCCCTCTTCCAATATCGCTAATATAAATGAAAATAAAAATGAAATTTGAACATATAAAATGGCTTCCCATCCCATCCTATCTATGCTGCATTGCTGATAGTGAATAAGAGAGAGAGAGAGAGAGAGAGAGAGAGAGAGAGAGAGAGAGAGAGAGAGAGAGAGAGAGAGAGAGAGAGAGAGAGAGAGAGAGAGAGAGAGAGAGAGAGAGAGAGAGAGAGAGAGAGAGAGAGAGAGAGAGAGAGAGAGAGAGAGAGAGAGAGAGAGAGAGAGAGAGAGAGAGAGAGAGAGAGAGAGCTTCTTTGGAATTGTAGAAGTGGACCCTAGAATGGTCTACCATAGTAGTACCAATCATAGAGAGACTTTTTGTCATTGGCTCTTGGCACACGTGCTATGGATTTGGCCAATTGGATAGAACCCTAAACTTTTTTAGTCTAAAAATAACAAAAAACTCTATCATATCAATCCAACAAGATTTGTCATGCCAATAGACTATAGTTATAGTATAGGTGATCCCATCTACCAATTCTATACGGTGTAGAAAAATATTGATATAGATTGTTATATCATGATCATATGGTTCTCAATCTAAACTTTTTTTAATCTCAAAATAACAATAAGGTCTATTATCGATCCAACAAGATTTGTCATGCCTAGCAAAGTCTATTATATACAGTCTACGGCCGTCTAAAACAAGAAAAATATTGTTATACCATATTTGTTGGCTTAGTAAGTCTAATCATTAAACTGAAAACTAATGTGATTGTCCATAAAATTTCAAGTTTTACTTTTCAATTGCAAGAAAATCTTGTATTTGATCGTGACACACTGACTTGTGTTACTAAGGACTCTCGATGACGATGACTCTTGTTAGAACACTTGGCTATTGACGTATTGCAAAAGATAAATCCACCTTTCAATATTATCATTTACTAATTTACTCAAATCATAAAAAGTTAGGGATGAAGAGTTTATACTTTAAAATGTAGCATTAATAAATATGTGCGGGTTTTTAAATGAATGGATTGATAACACTACATGTATATGTTAAAATCACACCGAAAAATTAATCATCAATTCCAATTCCAACTCCATGAACCATAGATTGCATGGTAGTTCAGCAAAAAATAGTTTTCTTCTTACCCAATGTCTGCAGAAGGAGACTCTTATCATGTACCAAACCCATGTCTATTTTGGCAATTAAAATGGTATAAATCTGAATTAGTATTTATCCTAAAAGGCCCACACATCCTTTGTAGCTTTCAACAGTCAAGTCAATTGGAATGCATGATTGGGGTAGCAATTTGCATTTGAACACTGATAGAACTTGACTGCATGAAGCACCAAAGCATCTTTTAGGTCACTTTTAATCAAGATCTAATCCACCATCCAATCTCTGATATGATAATAATGCTTTAGCAATCAGTGGCTGGCTCATTGATAGATCAAATATTATTGTTGTCTTCACACTTAGTTCCTTTAACCTAGTCAGATTGGCTGCCCAAGAAAGATTGAAATGCTTAATTAAGATTCACCATTTGAACACTAACTTGGCTTAGCCTTTTTGGGTTTTGCTTAATATAATCTCATGATGCCATTTGATTTTTAAAACCCATCACTTTGCCTCTTTGTTTTTTGCTTTGTTTTGCTTAGTGGAGAAGAAGATGGCCCTTCTTTCTTCCTTCTCGTTTCTCAATAATTTTTTCATTACAAAAACAAAGGCTTTAACATATACAATGCATTCTCTTGCATAAGCTCCATATCAAAGGTCAAATCCTTGTCGCCAAGTAACAATCTTGCTGTCCTCATCTTTCCATGATTCCTGGGTTTTGGTGTTTCGCACCCTACTTTTAAACATTTTATATCGTTGTCATTAGCCTCACCACTAATAAAGATTAAGAGTGATAATGGGTGTGAGGTAGAGGATGATCTTGGGACTTAGTATTGCTTATTAAACTTGTTCCTTTACCTAAAGCGCAACTTGTGGCCATTCTAAACCAACCTTTAATAGTCAAAATTTGTCGACTAAGCAGCAGGACGCATTGTGCTTTTGTATTTTTTAGAATACGATAAAACAATTTTTTGATAAACTAATTGCACTATATTTACTAATCATATCTCTCGCGCAAGTGTCACACGGAACTTACTTTCCTAGTGAGCATTCTCATATATGTAAAAGATGCGGTGAGAAATCTGATTAGTACATAGAATTACTTAAATGAGACCCTATAAACTAACGCTCTAAGTGGTGGATGTACTTATATGTAAGGTTTTTGAAAATAAAAAATAAAAAATTGTGTATGAGTTTGTAGAGTCTTCAAAGATTATGTACCAATTTGAAGTTAACCATAGAATTTATGGAGTTTTATTTTATGTGATTAAGCCAGTATGTCTCTATTACCATGAATGGTTGAATGGGCGAGCCCAATTGCCATATAAGTTGGGTTAAAACAAGAGGAATATATGATCTTAGTTTGGGCCCAGGTGAAAAAACCCAGAAACCCAAGAAAATGGTGTATTCGCGTCGTCTATGTTAGCTTCAAAACGAGGGAGCCTCTCAACAAATGATACAAAGGTGGATCTCAGAGGGCTTTGCATCTTCAAGCATCAGCTCTGTTTTCCCAAATAGAATCTCAGAATTCAGCATACAACACAATCCTCCCCAAAGGCTTTAATCACACACGACATCATTTTGGTTTTCACTTGTATTCTTGTTACCGCTCACCAGCATTTTATGTCCCCTCATCTTCAAAGGGAAAATAGATAGCAATTCAAAAACTACAAACCTTGCCAGTTTTCTCTCCAATTGATCTAAAATCGATGTTTATCAAAACCAAATAAATCTTGGCAAATAAAGGTGCACTTTCAACTTTCCACATGCATCTTCAGGGTAAAAAGAAACAAGAAATAAACTCTTAAAATTTTAACATCATAGCTTCAACTCGGAAATGTGTCTCAGATCATCCCAAACTTCAACTAGACTGACAAAAAAATCGTAAGAAATATACAAGGCAACAAACATAAAAATAGAAGAGGTCAATGTCACCTCCCAAAACATCTCATGACTGAAGACGTAAGAGCAGAAGATAGGAACTTCAAACCCGCAGATCCACCGGGAAAGTATGAAACAGCATAGTATGCAAGTGCCAGAACCTGATAGTTTCATTTGAACATGAGTTTCAGTGTCACATAGGATAATTAACTATCTTTATTAACATATATATATTTAAAAATTTCCTGATTAATATAACAATTAGAGATATCAAAACAGATTAAAAAGCAGGGATCATCAGCCAGGAGAAAAAAGATTCAAATAGTCAGAAGGATGGAAAAGAATTTGATACCTGTATCACAGAAAAGAGCACAGAGAGAATGTAGCTGTGGAGCACCATGGATACATATATGGTGCCCACCATACTGCCTAAAAATCCAAATGTAAACGGAAGTCTCTGCATAAATTGTGGAAAAGAAAACAACAAGTATATCATTAGACGTGTGATGCTTGGGATAGGTTACACAAACAGAATAGGTACATGTATGATATAGTTACCTCTCTTGAAGACATGTGAGCAAGCTGATTCTTTGGGCCTTTGAGTGCAAAGAATGATGCAATAATAAAGGCACACCCAAGCGTAAAGCAGATAGCAAACTTCTGAGGCATCAACACCATGACAGGAAGGAACATGGTAAATGCGATAAAAACAAAGAACACCCCAGTTGCTAGAAACAAGCCAAAATACATGAGAGCTTTTCCTGAAGGGACAGTACTAGTGGCAGATTGGAGGTTCCCAGGTAGATCTCTCACTCCTTTGGAAACCCTAAACAAGTGTCAATTAAATCACACAAAGACTCCATCAATTATGAGATAAAACCCAGAAAATGAATAAACATTTACTTTCATCTCAAACTTGTTCTTTCAGTAGGGGTAGGGAAATTATACAAAACTAAGGTAGGGGTAGAACAACAGAATACAGGTGATTAAGCAAATTACAGTCCACCATCCCACCCTTTTTTTTCCCTAACTCCTGATTCTTGTCTATAAGCCCTATTACAACATAATTATTGAAATAATTGTTGGTTTTGAGTCTTGCTTAGTTTTGATTTGGGAAGAATGATAATTAAGAGATAAAAGCCTAGGTTTCCACTTAAAATCCAGTGTGAATTTTGCAGATTCCTTCTAATCCTTTAAAGCGGCGGCACACATATTCAGTTTATAAATTCAACTAACTTAAATTCGCTCCACTTTCAGCTAATTTTCTCATTGCTTATATATGTCGGCCAGGACCCTCCACAACTCCTATAACTTATATCAGACACAATATGAACCTTCATTGTATAAGTCAATTCTTCAATTCACTAAAGTCCAATCATACAATCAGAAACAAATGCAAAGACCCTAAATCAGCCTATGAAGCAACATAAGCATTATGATGCATTCAATCAAATACTAATCACAGATCCAAGCACAAAAATCAAAATGTGCATCTTCAAAATCTATAGCATACATAAGCCCTGTCACAAATTTTACAAAATGGGTCAAACGAAACAGCTTATTCTACAAATCCACCAGTTCCTAAACCCCTTAAAACCAAAATCTCCATATCAGATTCACCTTAATTTATACACATACAAAAACCCAATATCAGATTCACCTAGTTATACAACAATTTCAAAAACTCAATATCAAATTCACCTAAATATGCACAACTATCATTAATCCTAATATCAAATTCACTTATATATAGGCAGGGATCAAAATCCATAATCAAGTTCAACTAAATATACACAATATCAAAACCCCAATAATCAGATTCACTTAAAAATACACAAAATCAAAAACCCATTTCCTAAATTTTCCTTTTAATTCCAACCAGGCCCTTTAAATCACTTCACAATTCGCGATTCAATTTGGTAAAAATATCTTCCACCAAAGCACCCTCCAGTTGGCCACCTCATCCATATTGATCGCCCATAAATAAGTATAGCGTAAGTAAAATGCTGAGTTAATTTGGCAGGAGACTAAGATCAGATATGAACATACACGCTGAAAGTCCCTGAAACGGTGTCGTTAGCAGAACGGACCGCAGATTCGAGATCGAAGCCCAGGCCCAAGGAGGAGCTCTCATCTGTAGATTGTGAAGCGGCATAGGAGTTCCAATCGGCTAACAAGGATGACGAGGTTTTCTGCGAGTCGTCAGCGCCGCTACCGCTCTGCGAAAACCATTCCTGCGCCATCTTTTGCATTGTTTACTTGCTTCACCGAACAGTCGCTGGCTTTAAGCTTTCTGAGAATTTAAAGTTTTGAAAATAAAAGAAAAAACACGTTTTTTTTTTTTTTTTTGCTTTTGATTGTGAGTTTCTTTGTCGAAACGTCTTTTAGGTTGATAGATATGGCGATGCGGTTGGTCTGTGACTTTTTAATGTTTCGGAATAACTGTGGTCGTAGAGGCTTAGGAATTAAGCAAGGCTTGGCTGCTGGTGGTGGTTTTGTTTTGTTTTTAGGCTTATTTAGCTACATGCCCCCTGTGCTTTGCAATTTGTCTCAGATTACCACCCGGGTTTTAAAACGTCTCAAAGTACCTCCCAACCTTTAAAAATTGGTCTCACGTTACCCTTTCCGTCAGGATTATTGACGTTCCGTTACAAGCTTTGGGCCCCACTTTGTTTCACTTCGTTTTAATCTTTAACCTCTGCGAATAAGGGTTTTTTCACTTTCAGATGAAGAGAGGAAATAGGGTATTTGGGTGAGAAGGAGGCTAGGGCTTATCAAAATCTGTGGTGGGGTTCGAAATTTGGAAGAATTTGGAGAAGAAATCACGGGTTGATAAAACTCTGAGGTGGAGTTCGAAATTGGGAGATTTTGGAGTATAAGATTAGGGTTTATGAATCTTTGAGTGGAGTTTGGATTTGGGAAAGGGGGAAGGGGGTCACACGATTTGGGAGAAAATGGGGAACTAGGTCTTACGATTTTGGAGGTTCAGTTGTTCTCTCTGTGAATACTAGGGCTTTTGCAAAATCTGAGGTGGGGTTCGAATTTTGGAGAATCTGGAGAAGAAATCACTCTTTGGCGTTAGACTTTAAGGCTAGAAAGTGCGAAGATGGTGGTGCTTAGAGAATCTGGAGGTTGTCAACCCATATGTAAGTGGACCCATTCTCAGTCGATTTTCTTGATTTTGGCATGTGCATTGGACTATTGTTGGAGTTTTTTTTGTTTTGTTGTATACTTTTTGACTCTGTGCTGGTCTGGTGTGGCATTGTGTGGTCCCTTGTGTGTTCCTTGTCTGGTCTTTGTGTGTTGCTAGATTTTGTTTTGTTTTTTGGTATACTTTTTTACTCTGTGCTATGGCTTATTTAGACTGAACCTTACAAACACCTTACAAAGCACCTTGGTATTCAGACTAAACTAAAATCTGCCAAATATAATTTTTGTTTTATGGTATACTTTTTTACTCTGTGCTATGGCTTATTTAGATTGCACCTTACAAACACCTTGGTATTCAGACTGAACTAAAATCTGCCAAATATTATAGTTGTTTTGTCTTTGTTACCTTTGTCGATTTGTAAAGTGACTCTTCCTCTTACACAAATAAAGATGCTGACGAGGTTGTTACATTTAAGTTTTTCCATGGAGGTAAACTAGTTAAAAATAGAAGGGACAGTGAATGGTCTTATTTGGGTGGTGAAGTCAGTTGGTTTGATTATTGTGAGGTTGACTATATATCCATGTTAGAGCTATTTGGAATGGCTAAAGATTTGGGATATGGCGATGGGTATGATGTGAGTTTTTTTGGTGAAGAGTTTGGAGCTGGAAGACTTATTCAAATAATATCAGATAGTACGCTTTTAGCTTGTATGAGCATGGTACCTAAAAGCAATAGCAGGGTGATAGTTTTGTACTTGAAAGTAGTGAGTCTGACTTCAAGCCAAGTGGGGAATGATAGCAGTGATCCAGAATATTGTTGTTCTGAGGACGATGATAGCAGTGATCCAGACTTTGAAGACAGTGACTATGCACAGAGTGATGAAGAGATTGACTTATTGAAGAAGGATGATAAGTGGCTCGAAGGTTATGTGGATCATAGTTGTACTGACAATGATCCTAATGCAGAGGAAAATGATGAGTCAGACAATGGAGAAGAGTCACCTACACTTACCTGCCCAAATAGCTTTTCAAGTGAAGATGAAGCAGTAGGTGAACTAAGAAGGAAGAAGAATAGAATGCCAAAAAGTGAAGATTTCAGACCTGAAGTTGATATGGCAAACCCAAGTTTCAAACCAGGTTTAAAGTTTGCAACTGCCGAGATATTTAGAAAAGCTGTGAGGATATACTCCATTAATTGTGGAAGGGAGTTGATATTTATGAATAATGACCGTAACAAAATAAGAGTAGTTTGTGAAGAGGGCTGTCCTTTTGTTATCCATTCTTTAAGTGTTAGTGGTAGCACTTATCTGCAGGCGAAAACCTTTAATCCTACACATGTTTGTAGTAAAGGGAGTAAAAATATACATGCCACTGCTAGCTGGTTGGCTGAAAGATATTCTGGGCAGTTAAGGCTTAATCCAAATTGGACTGCTTCTTCTTTTGCAGAGCAAGTTTACCAAGACTATGGTTACAGACCATCTAGAGCAACTGTGTACAGAGCAAGAGTCATGGCAGTTGACATTGTAGAGGGGTCTTACAGTAAACAATATGAAGTTTTGTGGGATTATTGTCATGAGTTAAGAACCAGAAATCTTGGAAGTATAGTTATCATTAAATCTGAAATGGAAGGTGATAGGCCTCGGTTTCAGAGGATTTACATCTGTCTTGTAGCCTGCAAGAAGGGGTTTTTAGATGGTTGTAGGCCTGTGGTTTGCTTGGATGGGTGTCATGTCAAAGGGCCTCACCCCGAGCAAGTGCTTTCTGCAATGGGAGTTTATGCAAACAATGGTATGTTTCCACTTGCCTATGCATATGTAGAGAATGAGAGCAATTCAACGTGGCTGTGGTTTTTAGAATTATTGAGTGGTGATCTGAATATTAGGAATAGCCAGGGTTATGTATTTATGACTGACAAACAAAAGGGTTTAATAGATGTTGTGGATGCTCTATTCCCTCATGCAGAGCATAGACATTGTTTGAAACATCTGTATGGAAACTTCTATTTGGAACATAGAGGTCTTGCTTTGCAACATCAAATGGAAGCAACTGCTAGGGCCACAACAGTGCCATGGTTTCATGCAGAGATGAGAAAGATGTTGGAATTGTCTAAACCTGCACATGATTGGCTTGCAGAGAAAGATCCTAGGCATTGGAGTAGGGCATATTTCAAGACTGATCCCAAGTGTGACATGCTTATGAACAACCTCTGTGAGGCATTCAACCATAGCATAATGGATGTCAGAGACAAGCCTGTTTTGACTATGCTAGAAAGAATTCGTTTGTACATAATGTTGTTGATGGCTGGAAGAAGGGTTTTCTGTGAGAAATGGGATGGACAAGTTGGGCCAAGAATTAGAAAAATATTAGAGAAAAACAAAGGAAAAGCTCAGTGGTGCATTCCTAAGGCTGCTGGACAGAATAGGTTTGAAGTGATGCACCATAGTGGCCGCAACTTTGCTGTTGATTTGAATGCCCACTCTTGTTCATGCCGTGCCTGGGATTTGAATGGAATACCATGTTTGCATGCTTGTGCTGCAATAAGTTGGTTTCATGGGAATCCAGAGGACTTTTGTGATGTAGTGTACAAAAAAGAGGCTTATTTGAGAGCCTATGAACCAATGATTATGCCTATGACTAGCCAAGATCAGTGGATGAAGATTAATTTAGCTCCATTACTCCCTCCAAAATACCACAAGCAGCCTGGTAGGCCTAAGAAGACAAGAAAACAAGCTTTTGATG